ATTAATAACAAATAAGAACATAAATAATCAAAAGATTAAATTGAGTGCAATGAGTTTACGCGAGTTTATACTAAATATTTCATCAGAAAGGAAGTATAAATTGTAGAAATATTAAAGAACCTATGTGAATCTCGATTATATAATAAAACGCAAAAATAAAACTCGCAAAAATTATGCAGACTTTATATTACATTAATCTTATTATGCACATTAATTGATTCTGTTAATAGAATTTAAATTGAGCTATTCACATAATCAAGATACTTAATAAAATGTTCATTATTTTAATCTTGTGAATCCTTTCTTTTATTATACATATTTAATAATTAAAATCGCATATACCGGACCGATATCAATTATTCAATTCTCCAGGAAAATATTCCAAGCATGTATCTCTCCAATTGACTACGATAAAATTTCTGTTAAATTTTAAAATTCAATAAGATAAATTGTAAAAATATCGATTGATATTCAAAGCCACATATTACGAGGAGAGCGTTTGAAAGGCAGTAACAATACAAAGCGAATGCCCTTTCGCTCGTCCTACTCTCCCGCGTATATATAAGTTCTTTAATTTACAGTAATTGGTGAATTTATTATCGTTCCAAGCTCTTCGCTTCTACGTCAGCATAGTACCTAGGAAGAGTTAAATAGCTTTAATTACAGCGGCTTATCCTCTCTCAAAGCCGTCAAGCTGGACGAAGTAATATTGTCTTCATTGGAGATGAAATTTGTTAAATACCAAAATTAAAATAAGATGATAATAATCAGCAAACTGTTGTAAAAATCGTAAGAATAACATGTCTAAAATATTTAAAATTTTATATATATAAAAGCTTAAAGAAATAATCATAAAGAATAAAATCGAAAAATAAAAAATAAAAAAGATATTAAATATATATACATTTTTGTATTATATATTTATAATAAAAAATTAATATTTAATTTTTTTTTTTAATTTTTTTAAAACGATTATATTATTCATAATTATTGTTTAATATAAAATAATTTTATATTAAATGATATAAAAGAATTAATTTAAAAGAGAACTTTCAAAGAAAACTTCAGTTTGAAAATAGCTTGTGATTGAAGATATTATAAGTATGTGGCACTTAAAATCGAACAGCTTTCTTATTAAACCATTTTATTCACGATACTCTCTTTATTATTGTTACATTGATGCAGACCCGCACGAATTTGCATTTCTATATCGGAGTATTGGAACTGACATAAACCAGTTTATCGTGATACTTAAATCTTAAGCTTGAACAAGACATGGACATCATGCATCGAATTTGCCTTTTTATCAATTGAGCAAATCATCATCAACTTTCATAATAATATATCCATGAAAAATTGATGTTGATGCGATTCTCAAGGTGACTGTTCACGTCCAACATTCGTCCGCGAAGTTGATCTAAATGTACGCCATTATACTCGCTGTTCATGCCTCGTCGCGCGTACATCCCTTTTTTGTGGGAACGTGGACACTACGGATGCTCTTTGAACTCGTGGGAATAAGACCCACCACTGCGTTTCAAGCACATGTGCCCGCGTTGGTTTATTTATTAAATTTATTTTTATCATTCGCAGACTCCACGTTGACACTCGCGTAAATACGGATGCACGGTTAACGATGCACGCATTTGAGTCTATAAGTATCTTAACTGAAGGTAATACGCGTGGTGCTAATCTTAATGGCTTTCATTATAACACTTCGTCCGCTTTTCCTTCGCTCGTCACTCACTCTTTTGTGTAGCCCAAATTCGTTGCTCCACGAGAAATAGTGCTCGCTTTAATTATCATAAAGAGATGGAAATGTGTGTATATATATATATATATACTTACCCGCATACTTGCTTTAATTTAACGCGAAAAAATTTTATAACAATCTTAAAATACACAATTTGTACTTGAATAATTTGTATTAATTATATATATAATTATATATATAAATAATTCTACCCGCATAATCTTTAATATATATAAATATTAATTTATTTCTACTTTAAATCAAGGTCTAAGATGAAGGTGAAGAAAATCCTGTTTCGTATTATTATTATTAATATTTATTTCTTCTCTTTGCTGTTAAAAATAGATATCGGAATAAAAAAATTTAATGAAAACATAAATTTTATTAATCAAAAGATATGTGGCTACATTAACATTCGGTAGTGTTCGTCATTTATGACACTTTATAAAATAAATATACGTTTTATACATATATTCTATAACTATACTTTATTATTAATATTACATAGCAAAGCTAGAGTTTTCCAAAGAATTGCAAAAATGTGATTTTGAATATTTAGTTTATAATTAAGGTGTTTATACGTTTTATAACTTATACGAATAAAAGTATGTATGACATGATTTCAATATACCTACAACTCTTTAGGTCCGTTCTTTTTGGCTAAACTTTTGCATCAATTCATCTTTCTTCCTCTTCTTTCCTCCTCGAAAGATTAATCGATAGCTAGGGATACACGAGCGAATGGTGTGTGTGAATGTGCAAATTATTCTTATAAGCCTGAATAAAGTTAATTTTTTCATACAAAAAAAACTAAAATGTTGTGTTTGTGTATACCATCCTCATTGCGAGCATAGACTATAAGCACATATTGGATTATTCTCCGATAACGCAGAAGTTTACGAGGGATCACCATTCTGGCAGAAAGGAAGGAAGGAAGAGATTGCTGAAGGCAATTCAGAGCCGTGAGAGAGGTTGAATTCTAGAATCCCGGAATTAATTCAACCTTATCAGTTGTAGATAAAACTGATAAGGTTGGCGACCATCAATAGTGAGTGCCAGAAACATAATATAATTATTTTATCTGCGGAATTAATTAATTGGGGTATTTAATTGGAGAATATTCAGAATCCGGTCACACCCCTACTCCGGACCTAACCCCGACCTAACCGTGGGGTCGACTGGACCCTACCCTGGACCTTGCAAACGCCCACTAAAATCCACATACCCGGGAAATAATTTATGTACATCATATAAAATTACAATATAGCAAAGAAAACATGGTAGCACAAATGCTAATAACATCAGCGGCTAGGATGACCGGTCAATCACTTATTCATATGACCACGAGACAAATGGTGGATCAGCAACCGGCAGGCGGATATCAACAGGATCAGGGTTACGAAATAAACATACCTATTAAGAAAAGCCTGACATTAGATTTTAATTAATGTTACCCATAAGAGACGATAAAGTTTGTTTGGTATATTATTTAAGTTTATTACAAGCGTCGATTACGATGTCACCGCAAAGATAAGCTATTAATGTTACAAAAGTGGTCCCGTCGTGGCGGATTATTTGTTTTTTATTGAGTTTTTTATTTGACTTTATTAATTACATATTATGATTTATCTATCCTTATTCACACGCGAAATATGATAAGGGAAATACTATATCTATTGCAGATAAAGAAATTTCTTGGTTTAAAGCTTAGAAAGCAAAGAATGGCGAGTTACAATATTGAGAATGGTGGTTTATTGTCTTATAAAAACTAACACAAAACATTTGTTAGTTAATAAATCCCTTTGGATTAATTAAAAATAAATTAAAAACATTAGCTCTGAGATGATAAATTAGAATTAAAATGATCTTTCTAAAGAGACAACCTTGAAGCACAAAATGTCCATTTATTATAAGTTACGAAAAATATAAATTAATTTGCGTTTATTATAAATATTATTTTGTACTTCAATGACTGCGTGGATCCTAAAAGGTATTTAAATTTTAATTTTTAATTATAGAAATAGTTAATTTATTCTTATTTCTATTTTAATAATAATTGTATAGTTTAGTTAATTATTCGAAAATCTGAATTATAGCGATATTTTAGAAAAAAAGAAAATTCAGAAATATAAAAAAAGACAAGATAAATAAATATTTATAAAATATTTAAAATAAATAAATGATAAATAAAATGATGAATAATGTAAGTGTAGACAAAGCAAAGGAGGAAGAAATTGAGAATAAAATTACAGATTTAATAGTAATATCTTTATCTCTCTTTTCGTATAAATTTCTTATAAATAAATAAATAATTTATACTTTGTCTAAAAACCATTTGAATAAAAAATTCGACTCACCTAGTTTTATAAAAGAGAAATAAGACTAAAAGTCAATGTACTCTGCGTTTGAAAATATCAAAGAATTAAAGTTAGGAGTGTCCGTGCAGTGTCAGTGTCAGTGGTGGTCAGTGCGATGTTGGTGATAGTGATGGAGAAGGCAGAATGCAACTCTACAGATGCACACGTAGGAAATAACGGTTGAAGAGAGGGGGTGGTACGGTGGTGGTGAACGCGCGCTCGCACTCTGCAGGGCCCACTTGTTCTCCACTACGTCGGCTTGTCACTCGCGAGCGTGTTGCCGGTGCGGCAACATCGAGTGCGTCCTCCTTTGACCTGGCCGCGCTTACGATCCCCGAGTTTGTTCCACTCGAGAGAATTGCTGGGAACCACCACGAACTATTACAATATATACGAGGGACATGAGGAAGAACAATTAGTTCCTATAAATTTTTATCCGCGAAGATCCAAGAGTGGTAAAGATCTAAAGTGGTGGAGAACGAATTATCAATCAGTGATCGTAGTTAACGAAAGAAAAGTGCACGTGAGCGTCACATTGTGCGCAGAGCATGTTCTAAGAATTATCACTTTTTGTTTTGTCGTATCATTTTTTTCTTCATTTCGGTGAAACAAAGAGACCGAGAATGGCAAACGAGACGTTGGCGCGCGAAGTGGACGCGCACATTGTGACTATTCTATCGAGGCTATCGGCCTTCCGAGAGAACAATGCCGATGTGACTGACAGAAAGGCACCCATGTCCGTCGAGGCACGCAGTTTAGAGCTATGGCGAGCGGTGGCCATCGAATGCTTAGCCACATTCCTCTTCAGCCTCATAGTGGCTGGTGCGGCCGCCGCCTCCGCTGTATCCGGAAGCGGCCTCTCTGCGTTAGCCACCGCTGTAGCTTCCGGTTTCGCTATCGCTGCGATCTCCCTCATCTTCAGCCACATAAGCGGTAAGGGTATTAATGTATTATAATGATATTGTTACGAAAGGTGGTAATAAAGTAGGGAGCAATGTACTCGTTTATTCGTACATTTATCATCGAGTTTCGAGAAATGTGATTTTGTCAGAAAAGAAGTAATATCAAGATGATTCTTTGTATTTAATACTTAGTAATATAATATATAATGTTTTTGAAATTAAAAATTTTTTAAATTAAAATAATTCTTATTTTTATAATTTAAAAATTAGTTAACTGTAATTTTAACTTTGTTTAATTTTTCATCCTATTTTTATGATTTAGAAAGGAATAATAAGTTCACTTATATATGTCTATTTATCTATATAATACATTTTTTTCGTTTCATATATGTCCAAATTTTATATGTCAATATTTTTTGACATACATGAAATGAAAAAAAGTATAGAGAGCGTTCTATTCCATTTATGCGTAACTAAAAAAAATGATATTACATTAACAGCATTAAAAATAATTCTTATTAATTTTCAACACTATTAATGAAACAAATATATCATGTTCTTGTTTTAATAAAATGTTGTTTGTTTCGCTAATACTGTTATTGTGTGTATTCAAAATAATAAAATTATTTTGAATTAAACTAATGCCGTTAATATAATAAACATTTTTTTATCCGTACAGTTCTATTTAATTGTTGCATTTCGAACAGGAATTTAATTTTTTTTGTATAAATATTCATAAAAACACTTATATTCACATATAATAGTCTGCTTGATTTCGAATTATGCCTTTGATGTTGCGTCTGCAAGACTTCTACGTAAAGCGCGCGTCTTCTACAAAGCGTTCAGAGGCTAATTACGCAAAGGGTCGCGAACTGCTCAATGCGACGATCTCGTTGCGTCAATGGTTCTGTTCCTTCTTGTACATAGGTTCATGAGCGACGGCCCTCGCGATTTCTCTCGATTGGCTCATTAACCGATTACGCTGGCGCGGCCAACATTACCATGTTGTGCGTGTCTGGAACGTATGTGAGCACTCTCGAGTACGTTCCGCCGGCACGCACGATACGCGACATACGATGCGTGTAATAAACTCTCGGTTGTCGTACTATATGCCGGAAACCCGATCGCGTTTGCTCCCGACTCGCTATCGTTCCATAAATAAACGCAGAAAATGCGCGCCAACTTAATCCATTCAGACATTTCAGACTATGTACATTGCACAATGTACATCAAATTTGAATATATCATCCTCCGAAATTTATTTAGTTTTATCGATATTATCTGAGAAAAAATGCACATATTGGAAAAATAGAAAAAAATATAATTTTTAGTATGAATTACTTATTAAGATACACAAAGAGAAAAATATTTGGTTGAATTAAATGGAATCCTGAGGTGGAGAATGAACGATCTAGAATTCTGGTTAAATCTACTAAATTTCTAGTTAAATCTACTAAAAAAATTCTAGTTGAAATAACCAATATTTAGAACTTCCTCAGTTTAAATCTATTAGAATTCTAGTAGTACCTAAAATCTAATAGACTTATGTCCATTTCCATCAACGTAGATTAACTTTAATCTCGGTTCAACTTACTCTTTGTCTTTTTCTAATCTTTAGAACTAGAAAAAGACGAAGAGTAAGTTAAACTAAGATTAAAGTTAATCTACATTGGTGGAAACGAGCATTAATCAGAATTTTGGATTGTTCATTTTCCGCCAGAATTCAACCAAATATTTTTCTATATTCTTGGATCGAATTAAAAAAAAAATTTTAGCATGATTCCATTAAAATCAAATCTGAAAGGGTTAATCTTATTCATTAAACGTTTGTAGCTTAAAAAGAATTCTATTCTATAATCCATATTAGAATACACTGAAAATAAAAAATAAAAAATTCTCGCGTCGATCCAAGGGTATCTTTATTTTTTTCGAGCGCGAACGAGATGCCTGTCCCTGTTCGACTCATCCAACCCATCGTCCATAATTGAGCTCATCAATCTTATAACTTGTGTCACCGGCAATTATTATTTTTTTCTTGGATTTATTAACGTTACAATTTTTAGTCAGAAATAAAAAAATGAACAGAGATGAAAGTCACTGGAAAGAAGCATCGATCAAACTAGCAGGGTATAAGTCGAGAGAAGAATTGTCCAATCTCCCTCTGTCTTCTTTGATTCTTTCTTTTTCTTTATATGGAAAACCTTCTGCACGCAGGTGGACACGTGAATCCAGCGGTTTCGGTATCGTTTGCTTTGTGCAGACGGATTTCCCCACTTCGTGCTGTACTGTACGTGGCGGCACAATGCGGTGGCGGCATAGCTGGGGCGGCGATGCTTTATGGGTGAGTTTCGTCTTTGAAAATCAACATACCTTGATAGAAAATAATTCAGTCGGTTGCGTAAGATTGGTCGAAGTCGTCAACAACCGTTGAATAAGTTTGCGTTGAATAAGTTTATAGAAAAACTTGGCAGATATTCTCTCACAAGATGGTTATCATTTCGCTTAGCATGAACAATGAAATGATTGACGATCTGGAGCGCAACAAAGATATTAAATATTATGATATATCATGCAGAAGTTTTTTTGGTATTTTTATTCCTAAAGGAAATCGCAAGATAATTGCAATAGCTGCATAATTTTTTTTATGAATTTGAAAAAAGGAATTTAGATTTATTCTTTCAATTTTAATATAAATTTTTAAATTCCTAAAATATAGTCGATAATTAGTTTTGCATAGAGTACCTTAATATCTAATCGCAAATGTAATTGGCAGTACAAAAGTAACGAATAATAACAAAATCAGCGTTATCCGACGTGTAAAGTAGTGGGTCCTTGACAGTGTTCGGAATGAGATACACTGCTTTGTGAAGACAGCTGCTAGATAGAAGAACCAGGAAGGCATGTGGCCCATCCAAAGCTGGGCCGAGTTTTCTTCCAAGTGTTCGTACCGTAGCCGGTGGCCTGAGCGAGTTTTGGGAGGAGTCTAAATATTATCCACATCGTGATTTCTGTTTCACGTCTGCTGTGCGTAACGGTGAACAGGGCAAATGTTTTCTTCGGCAATTTCAACGTTTTGTTTGTGCCTTTCTTTGATAATTTCAAGGAAAATTTTTATGGAGTGTATTGTTGAAGATAATAAAATGAATTTTATCGTTATGGATGCGCAAGAAATGCTTAAAGAAAAATATCACGTTTAAAAGCTTGCAAGACCGATGCTTTTTTTATGAGTATGTACACAACGAATTCAACCGTAAAGCTGCAAGGACTAGGATTTTTAATCCTTGTAGCTGTAAAAAATATCACGCATATCTTGCAAACGTAGATAAGTTCCTTCAACATGGAACATTTATCGCATAAAGTAAACATAAAGCATTTGTCGCCAGATATATAACAGTTTCATGTGATAATGCACTTTCTGAGACAAAATTCAAAAGTATAGACAAAAAATAACTGAGAATAACAGATTTCAACTTATCAGAAACGTACATGTATACCAGATACACATGATTTCAGATAATTGAAATTTATTATTTCCTATCGATTTCCTATTGTCTGTACTTTTAATTGTGTTTCAGGCTTTACGTAAACTTGATATGCTGGCACATTGTGAATTCAGAATAGAATAAAAATACGGCCCATTACGGGCTTCGTGCCGAGGCATGAATATCCCAATTCGCCTCAGAAATATTATGATGTACGAAAGCACGAACACCTTCGAGCGATTCTCAAATAGCCCCCTCAATATATGCAAGTCCGGTGCACGTGCTTCGATCTCGCCCGTGGGCAGACGGCCTCCATCCTCTCGAAGGGCGAGAAAAAAATAAAAGGGGAAAGGCGCGCGCGCGCGCGCGCGCGTGTGTGTGTGTGTGTGTGTGTGTGTGTAGAATCGTGCGCTGGACCAAGAAGCAGAACATCGTTTGGAGGAGTGCGGGTAGATCGTCCTTTCGAAGCGGCAGCTGAGAAAGCCGAAAGAGTGCAAGAAGCGTGAAACGAAGCGAGAGCAAGATGAGAGAGAATAAGATGACGACAGAAGGGGGACGAGTTATGCCCGAAATAATTACGCTACGTTTAATGCTCGTTTAATTTTCAGAGAGACATTTAAAGAATGAGAAAGTGTAATATTATACTCTTCAAATAACGGCTGTAATATTGTACTATAATATACAGGGAGCGAAGTCTTGCTTGAGAATAATCCTCTCTCTTTCTCTGTCTTTTCTTATATATTAAAATTTATATTGGTTATATTTTTATCACAATTTAATATTTTATATATTTCTTAAATTTGCAGTATTTTTATAATTTGTACACTTGAGAGAACCTGTTCCAGAGCGCGAAATAAATGTCTTACTCTCTGTCTTTCTTTCTTCTTTGATGTAATTAACTAGATAAGATGCGGGTATTAAATCGAAGGAATGCAACAAGTTGGCACGAGAGACGCACACAATAAGGGAAATTAAGATCGAAAAGCGAAGAGAAAGCGTTGAGGAGAAGCGTGAAAAGGTGATATCGTAACAATTCCATAATAATCGGATATTGGTGAAAACATAAATCGATGAACATGAACGATACGTTTAATAACTTCTCAGGCTCAGTAATTGAGAAGGAAAGATGAAGTATATACTGAAAGAAATGCAAGAAGTTGGCACGAGGGCAAAATAAGATGAAGGAGATCGAAGCCGAGTGATAGGAGAGGAAGGGGATGAAGGGAAGGAAAAAATGGGAGTGTGCAGGAGGGATGGTAAGAGAAGGTGAGAGAAAAACTGTTGTGCGACGGAGGGCGGAAGGAGAGCGACAGCAGCTCGTAAGGGCGGAGAGATGCGATGAGAGGAGTGGGAGAGGCAGAAAGAGGCACGCGTAATTGGCAGGCGAGGGAGAACCTCGGAAGGTGAGCACCTGCCTCGTACGAGAAGCGGAGTCTCGGCGGTCCACCGCCTCGCAGCTGCCGCAGATGTTTCCCCGTGGACCAAAAAAGATCGCGCGGAAAAAGG